AAAAAAAAAAAAAAAAAAAAAAAAAGAATTATGATTGCAATTTTTTGTCTTCTGCTTGAATTGATTGATGATACGTTTGATAACATTTATAAGCTTTGGTGGTGGTTTAATTGCAGTCATTTCTTTTTTGAAAATTTTGGAAGTTTCTTATTACTGAGGTATTCAACACTGGTATGGTAACAAGTGGTGTGATGAGTGATAAAAAACTTGAATACTTTTTGAAGTTTTCTAACTTTTTTTTTGTTTCCATTGCAGTCTGTACTCACCTGCAGTTGTCGTGTGCGTGGTTCAGGTCCAGGTTGTGGACGAGAAGACGATTGATGAAATTAACATTTTAGAGGTTAATTATCAAGCGCATTATGAGCCCAAACTACGGTGGTAGTGAATCGCCATCATCTTTTTTTCGTATATAATATTTATATATATTCTGTAATGCTGGACGATGTATCTTCCTGCTATGTGTATGATTCAATTTCATTCAAATCTGACAGATAGACTGAATTTTAACATTTCGATTTTTTTTTTTTTTTTTCTGTGTGTTTTGTGTCTTAGGAGTCAGTTGTTGTCTGTCGTGGGCCAGTGTGTCCGTCGGGTCTTGAACCGTAGGTCTGTCGCGTAGGGGTCAAGTTTGTAGCAGAGGTCGTAGCTGTAGTGTTTCCGAAAGGTCAAGGTCGTAGCTGCTACAGTCCTGAAAGGTCAAGGTCGTAGCTGCTACAGTGTCGAAAGGTCAAGTCCACAGACTTCCGGAACGTCCGGAAGTGGCCTTTCAAACGTTGTCCACAGTATCCAGGGTGATCCAGAGTTGAGTGAGTGTGAACAGTGGTGTTGGACAGAGAGACAAGAGTTGGGGTGTACAGGCGCTGATGCGCCATAGCCTGTTGAAGCGAGTTTGTATCTGAACTGTGTTTCCGACTTCCATATCTTTGAGCTTTGAGTGGGCGCTGTGCGCCAGTGTGATTCACCATCTGTTTGCATGAGTGCGAAGTGGAAAAGAAAGCGCGTCTGATTGCAGGATCCTCTGATTGAGAGGTCCGCTCCGATACCAAACTGTCGCATACCGTAACGGTACAGACCAGAACAAGAACCGACCTCTCTCACATAGTACAAGATAGCACAGCGGAAGGCTCAAATACCAATGATCCGAACAATCAATGTTGCCATGCAGACCAAACATACATCATCAGCATTCCATGGTGTGAAGGGGCCTGGCGTTCACACAGGAAGAATGTGCCAGTCCCCAACTATACACAGACGAAGAAGAGGGGGTTCGACGAAGAAGAGGGGAAGATGGGAATGTCGTCAACACCAAGTCTTCGGTACAGTCCCAAATAATCCCTCGTGAAATGTCTGAATCCCAATGTCGAGTCTGGATCCAAATGTCGTCAAGTCCCAAAGTCACCAATCTCTCTCTCTCGTAGTCTGCAGATACTGAGAAGTCAGGTAGCGAGAGGGTGAGGAAGAGATGGTGGACTCAGAAGAGGAAGAAGAAGAACTCTCTCTCTCTCTCTCTCTCAGTCCGGTACTAACCTGTGAAGGTGGCGCCTTGTTGCAGGTACATCAAAGACGAAGCTGGAGCTATGGCACCACAGGTAAGTCTCCCTGGCCTCCGCCAACCATCTCTCTCTCTCTCCAACGCTACTCTAGTTCCTACTAGCGCCCAGTGCTGACGACTACTGCTAACGCTGCTACTACTCCTGCAGCGCTCCTCCAGAGTTCTGCTGCCGAATCCTGAAGACTACCTCCTGCCTCCTGCATGTGAAGTGCCTGGGAAGTTCCTATGAACTGCCTCCTGACCGCCTGCAGCCTGTAGGGTGGGCCAGTCTTATATAGTGCTGGCCCGTCCAGGTGGCTGCTCTTGCCGACACCAAAGCGTGCCAGACCCTGGCGTTGAAGTTCAAACAAAGGTTGTCTTGAAAACAGGCTCAAAATGGCCTGTGCTAAAACCCTGGTCTGGTGCCTAAGTTTCAGGGCAGGTCRACTTTATGAGGGCCTGAAAATGGCCCTCGTTTTCAGGCTTTTAGGCTGAAACGACACAGGGCCTGTAGGCCTTCGTTTTCAGGCTTTTAGGCTGAAACGAAACAGGCCCTACACCTACGGACGCCTAGTCTACCTGGTCGGGCCCTGCTGGGCTCGTGTGGTACTGAGTATGCCACAGCACTTCTACCCATGGACCTCCCTCCACTTCCTCATAGCATCGTTGGCCCAAAAACACCAACAGTCGATCCGATAGCGCCCAAACAACTTTGCAACATAGCATACCGCAGGAGGACGTCTAGCTGGACCACCAGATCGAATTCCGGGTTCAGCACGACAATCATGGCCATCTCCTCCTGCAGGCTCATGAGTGTGCTCCCTGTTTGATTTGCGATAAGATTGCCCACACTCCTGATCGTAATCGCATTTCAGTTCAGCGAACCAGGAGAAATGGGAGGGATGGATCCTTTGACAATCGATTGGTGCCGATCTTGAGAAACCCGAAGCGAGTATGCTTGAGATTCGAAGTACACTTGAGATGCGAACTACAATTGGTGTAAACCCTAAAAAGTTAATCCGTCAATCCTTCATACCATTCTCCCTTCCCCCAATCAACAAAAATGACGGCCACAGATCGGTTGCAGTTAGATCGCAGATAGATTTCAGATGGATTGCAGATTGGGATCGATTGTGGACATGGATTTATCTGCAATCAATCTGCAATCCAATCTGCAGATCGGATTGCAGATCAATTGAAGATGGATCGCACATGAATTACAGATTGGAAACAAAGACTGATTACACTGCAGATCAATTGCAAAGTGCTTGGAGATTTGGTTCAGGATTGATTTGAAAATTGATTTTGCGGGACTGATTTGTGGATTGATTGCAGATAGATTAATCGCAGATCAAGTACTGATCGATCGCATGTGGATTGGACAGGGATTGCAGATCGGTTGCAGGTGGATTGCAAAGCGATTGCAGATCGACTGTGGATTTGGTTTTGCTGATCGATTTGTGGATTTGATTTTGCAGACCAATCGCAGATCGATTACAGAGCGCTTATGGATTGATTGCAGGTTGACTGCGGATCGCTCGCAGATTGATTGCAGATTGCTTGCAGGTTGAGTTCAGATTGACTGTCAGATGGATTGCAGGTCAATCGCAGGTTAAGTGCAATTTGATTGCAGATTGATTGCAGATTGATTGCAGATTGATTGCAGATTGATTGCCGATGGATTGCAGATTGATTGAGATTGAGTGCAGATGGATTACAGATCGACTGCGGATCTCTTGGAGGTTGGCTACAGATTGACTGCAGAGATTGATTGCCAATAGGTTCGATGGCAGACTGATGGCTCAAGAACTCAGCTGCTCAAATCATTTGGGGGGACAGCAAACATGCCCATCACAGGACCTGAAGTGCACAGCACAGATTGATTTCTTGAAGTCACCCTCACACTGACACCACCTGAATCTCAGATTGTGAATTTAAAGGCATGGGTTCAACTCCCGTTATTTGCCTCTTGCATCAAATTGAACTCTGCCCACCTCAAGTCCACAGAACAGATTGATTTCTAGAAATCTCCCGTCTCAATGACACCACCTCAAGTGCACTGATCACAGGTTGATTTCTAGAAATCTCCCATCTCACTGACACCACCTCAAGTGCACACACCACGGACCGATTGTTTGGAATGTCCCATCACTGACATCACCTCAAGTGCACAGCACAGAGATTTATAGCTTGACATCTCCCATCTTAGACTCCACTGAGATAAAAAAGACAACCAAATGGGGGAAGGGGCCAAAAGATACCTCTTCACGGCGATCAGTGGACTTGTATGCGTCCAGTCGACCATGAACATAACTGGCCTTCATCATCGTGATCTTAGCAGGCAACAGCACACTATTGCTGTTGTATACCCCATGAGTACCGACACAGTGAGGTGACTGTGTGAATGTGAATTTTGACGGAAATTTGACCTATATACATAACAGCACACTCTTTGCTGACGGGAGAGTCGTTCATTCATTCATCTTCATTGTTAGCTTACTGTTATGGGGTAACCGGCTAGTATTAAGTACTATTAACTGTTATTTTAACTTATTGGCAAGGTATTGCAAGTTATTTGCTGTTTTGTTTTGGAAAGAGATTTTGAAAATTTTGAGTATAAATTTTGCCATATTGGTATATGG